CGTCGGGAGCGCGACAACAAAAAATCGACAACCAACTTGGGAAATATGGATTCAATATTGTCCCAGGTAAAATGGACCACTGCACCTTCGTGTCTCTTGTGCTCTCAGAAGAGATGTTCAAGATCAGAGAAGTACAAGAGGAGGAGCTTGACATTCCACCAGATATGATGTAATTCGACCTTTTCTTGTGTTCTTGTAATGGTTTCAGTACTTTTATAATTAATAATAGTATATTAATAGAATACATTAAATAACACATAAGAATACTATTATTTATAGTTTCAATAGTTAACTCATATTCAAGGAACTGAAAAATTGAAATTGATGAAGAGGTTTGATGCATACGGGAAGGTCCCGGAAGACCTTCAAGTCAAACACGGGTTTGGTGGGATCATGACAATTGTCTGTGGAATTTTAATCGGCATTTTGGTCTTGACAGAGTTCAGGTATTACCTCCAGAGAGAAGTCACACCACAACTCATTGTGGACAGAGAGCGCGACGAAAAGATTAAAGTTCACTTTGACATCACATTCCCATTCTCGTCTTGCCCTATTACCAGCGTCGACGTCTTGACAAAAAGCGGAGAGTCGATGATAGACATTGAGAAAAACATAACGAAGACTCGACTCAATAAAAACGGCGTGCCGTTGACTGAGTCGGAGCTCAAAGCAACTCAACAAAAGCTCAATGCAAACATCAAAACAGTTGACCAAAAAACATGTCGATCATGTTACGGTGCAGAGACACCAAGTCGAAAGTGCTGCTATACATGTGACGATGTCATTGAGGCGTACAAAGAGAGAGGATGGAATTTGAATATCCGAACCATAGCCCAATGTGACAACAGCGAGAAATTGGAAATGGCAAAACTGACGTTAGAAGAGGGGTGCCGTGTCGAGGGAAATTTGTTGCTCAATAAGATTGGAGGTAACTTCCATATTGCGCCGGGCACATCGGATAACACATGGACTGGGCATCACCACAATATTGAATGGACTGGAAGAACTAAAATTGACTTGACACACACATGGAATGATTTGTCATTTGGCGAAGGGAGTAAGACATACAGTGGGTCGAAAAAGGATGCCAAGATGAATGGGATGTTCCAGTACTTTTTGACGCTCATTCCAAAGAAAAACAACTTCATCAACGGCACCAAGTTTGTCTACGATTTTGTTATTAACGAACAAACGAGAAGCGGACAAGGAGAGGGCGAACCGGGAGTGTTTGTGTATTATGACGTGTCACCAATGCTTTTGGAAGTCAACGAGTTCAACCACGGATTTTTACACTTTTTAATTGGCGTCTGTGCAATCATCGGCGGTGTATTCACTGTCTTCCAGTTGATTGACGCATTTGTGTTTGACTCTATCCACACACTCCAGAAGAAGATTGAGCTCGGAAAGGATATTTAATTCGTCGATATTTGATTTGTGTTGGTATTTTAGTCTTGTAATGATGAAGAGCAACATCTTGTGATGAAACAAGTGATTTAAAAATCGGTGAATTAGTCTCTCTTGGGATTCTCTTTGTAATTCAAGTAAAAGAAGACAAAGATGACAGTAGACACGGACATAGAGAAGTAAGCAAGGTAGAAGGGCATGCACTGCGTCTGGAATCTTTCAACGTGGTCGTGTCTGAAAGGACGGATTGGGGTCACCTTGTTGAACTCGAGTCTTGACAAAAGTGGTTTGCTGCATATTAGTTGAGAGAAGTTAGACACTCACGTGTAAAAGTAACAACAAACGTGTAATTGATAAGAATTGTGTACACTCCAAATCTGTCTGGTAACACCGTGGTGAATACGTAACTCCCATTCTTCAGGTTTTGAGCGTAGTTGCTAATGACTGGAGTCACAAATCTATACTCGACCATCACATCATCTGCATTGTACTCGGTCAGCACACCACCCACCTTCTGTGAAATATCGAAAGAGACACTGACGGTGTCGTTGATAAAGAACATCCCTTCATTCTCGACGTCTGGCGCTCCTGCAATTTTGGTGATTTGAACGTTCTTCAAAATGAGTTTTCCGTGCTCTTGCATAGCCCATTGGATAAGCGGAATAACAAAATCGCTGTTGTTATTAAAGTTGACATCACTGAACAACTCGACGCTACCAGAGATAACAAGACGGCCATTCGCAAGTGATTGGAACGTGAACACAAGGGAGTGCTGCTTATTTGAGTATTTGCTATTAAGAGTGTTCTCTGAGAGAAGCGAGACAAAAGCTGGAGTCTTTGGAATCTCCAAAGAAACGCCTTTAAACGCAACGGTGGTCTCTTTGAACAACGCGTTTTTAATTGTAGTGAAATCGCCTTGAGTTGCGTCTTCGGGTGTGACTTTGAACGTTGAGAGGAATGACTTGACGGATGAGGTGTACACCTGTGATATCGCGAAAAAGACATTCCCGCCCGCTCCGACGTATCTTTTCAGCTGGTGTGCTGTGATGCTTTTGAACGTGTATTTTGGCGCTAATATATAAACGCTGTCATAATTAAATTCGTCATACGACTCAAATTGTACATTAGTGTCCATATCGACAACCTCAACGCGTTTTCCGAGTGCTATTAAATCAGTCTAATATGTCTTTATCTAGTAAGTACCACCAATATGAGTGATACTATTATGTATTAATTTTCAAATCATTTCTATAACAAACACTTGACTTGGTTAATGAATTTACTGAACGACTTCTCCTGGTTCATGAACTGTAAGATGACCAATACGGGTTTTTCTTCTTGCGAAAAAGTTTGTAAAATGAGGAGCAGCAAAAAGAAAACCTTCATTGGCTTTTTCAGTTCCAAACCACTAATAACATTTTCTTTTTTTTGTTATTTGATTTGATTGATTCTTTTGCTTGTAACATTTTTATATTATAAATATTATTATATATTACTAATTGAAGATATACTATTCCAATAATAAAATTATTAATAACATTTTAATTGTTTTCATTTCAATACATTTGCACTAGAAATCGGACTTGGTGCTATATCTCAAGATCAATTACTAAGAAATTAACCGAACTCGAAAAGGTGAATGAACTTTCAGAAACGTGAGATTAGCGTATTAAACGGGACAGTGTGCTGTGGGACACAACAGGGTGTTCGGCTTTTGAGGTGCACAGAAAACTATGTGAGTGTGCTTTCACAACTCTTTTTACCAATATTAAACGTACGTTCCATAGCTTTAGTGGATGAGAACACAGTAGCGTATTGCTGCTATGCCAATAAAGACACTTCGCCATCTGCAGTTTACATACAGAAAGTGTTTTGGGAACAAACACCTGCAAAGGAACTTATTGCGTTAGAGAAACAAACGGTTGTGAAAACAGAGAAAATGACACTTCGCTTTCCGGAGGAAATCCACTTTGTGAATTGTCTTGATAACAAGTTGATTGTAGTCGCAAACACACACATTTTTGTATATGAAACAATAGAGTTCCGTACTATCGAAACTCATCCAATTGTATACCCACTGCTAGTCGACGCAACAATCTTAGACGGCAACTTGGTGTATTCCAACGTCGATAATTGCCAAATACAGTTTGTCTACGTCGGGGGTGTCAAGTCTTCGTTGGATATTGACAAAGAAGAGTTCACTTTTGTCCGAATATTGAATGACAACTACGCTATTGTTGGGACGTCGACATTTGCTTATTTCCATGCACTCAAAACACGAAACAAACAGATTAAACTTAGTTTTGATACGACTTATATCGAGTGTGTAGCGTCAATAATGTTCGGCAAATATTGTGTTATTGTAATGAGGAACGCGGATGGTTCGAAAATGTTGGCATTTAACACAACGGTGTCTTCTACTACTTCGCCTTGTTTTACTTTTGAGCTTGTCCCATATGATGTTCCATGCTTCTTAACACAAATACAAAATGACGGTAAACTATTCTTGGTTCTTTTCTCAAGAAAGTCATTCATATTCTTCGACTCTGACATGAAGTTTGTCACACAGAAAACATATAAAATAGGAAGACCTTAATTAGTATGCAGTAGTTTTTTTATTAATTTTATTAGATATTGACTCAAAAGAAAGTATCGAGTCAATTTGTAATAAGAAATAATTAATATATTTATATTATTATTAATAATTAATAAACTATTTCAAATAATTAATAAATACAACAAGTAACTGGAAAAACACTTTAACGGCGGGAAAATGGAACAGATAACAAAAAGCATACAAGTCATCAAAAAGAACAATGGGCAGATAGAAAAATGTTTAAACACTATTAATGACATGGCTAATATCATAGAAAAAACAATGGTGTTGCTACAAACGCAAATGAATACACTCGAAAAGGATAACAAACACTTAAGAATGCAACTCTCAAACAAAACAGCAGAATGCACAGAAAAAGAAAACACAATCAAAACACTTAAAAACATTCAACAGAAATCTGTCGAAGTCAAACTTCAAGAACAGGAAAAGCCAACTCTTCTAAAAACAATCGAAGTAACTGAAGAACACAATGAAAAGCAAATCCAACAGCCAAAAAAACAAAAAAGAACTACAAAACGCAAAACACACACAAAACCAATTTCACAGAACCACCAAGCGCAGCTCGAGAGAGTTCGTGAGAAGCCACATAAGACTGAGCAACCACCCAAAGCCGTTCCAAATCACGCTGAAAAAGAAGAAATAGAGACTCTAATATATCCAAAGGAAGCAGACGTTTCTCAAATACCTTTTATAGATCCCAAGAGTTGTAAACCAATGTCTTCGAAAAAAGTGCAACTCACTCAACTTGAACAATTGAAGAGTGTTGAACCATCACAAACCCTTCAGTCCGACTCTCCTGTGTTAAATTCGGTCAAAAAGATGCATGAGACGATTCTTCAAATGAAAAGTGCCATGGATAAGGAGTTATAAACTATTGAATTACTGAATTTATATCTTAGTTAATACAACTGAATGAACAGGGAATTAAATGATTTACAAGATTTCCTTTGGCTTCGGCTTTTTTGCGTCCTCTACCTTTTGAGCTTTTGGGTGATGGTGATCGGCAAACTCTTCCCAAATGATATCGTCTTCCCCCCAAGAGTCTTCACTTGCCTCTTGGTCATCGACGGGGTTCTTTTCCAAGAAGATCCGTATCTCTTCTATTTTCGTGTCCATCTTATCTTGGAGTGTTTTCAGACGATTCGTCTCTTGTTGGATGAGTGAAGAAATGGAATTCATTTGTTCTCGAATTTCGTCGATCAGTGCTTTTTGTTTGAGGTACTCTTCGCGGCTGTCGGGAGTGTTTTCAGTCTCTTCGGTGTTATTGACCATCTCTGTGTCTTTCCTCTCCATTCCCGTGGCGCTCTATTCTTTCAAGTTCTCGCACTGAAGAACACTCTTTTCGTTCTTCTGTTCCATCAGAGCTTCGACTTCTTCTTTCTCCGTCTTGATTTATCAGTTTCTTTTTTTCTTTAATTCATAGTAAAAGAATTCCTTCTTCTAATTCAGTTAGTAATAATAATAATAATAATAATAATAATAATAATAAGTATTAAAAACTAATTAAATTACGAAATAACACAAATTGCATTAACACAACTTGTACAACACCTTGTGGCAAGTGCTTTTGAATATCTTAGTTACTTACACTGATCTCCTTTTTAATGAATTTCTCAAAACTAATTCCAATGAATATCGGTCGTTTTTTGAGTATTTCATATTCACACGCTCTCTTCGTGGGGTCTTTCTCAAGCATTTCCGCTATAAAGCTTTCGACCTCTGGAAATGTGTTATATGGAAAGTTGACGGGTTCGTTCATAATTTTCTTTGCAACAATGTCGGGGTTGGTATCGAAAAATGGCGAGTCTCCAAAAGCCATAGAAAAGAGGATGATCCCCAGAGACCAAAAGTCGCATGAAAAGGACGAAGACTTCTTTTGTATGATTTCCGGAGCAACATAGTTGATGCCACTTTTGTATGTCAAATTCAGTCCAATTGGTGTTGAGACCAAAACATGTCCGTCGTCCCCAATGAATATAGTCTCGGGATTAATTTCTCTATGGACGTAATTGCATTGTTTCAGTGCGTTCAGCGCCAACAAAATTTCCGTTGCGTAAAACTTGATTCTTGGCACCGGCAAAATTGATTTGTTCATGACGTCTGCAAGTCTTTTTGATGGGTAACTTGTCATCACAAAGTACAAATTCTCTTCGACAAATATCGAAAGGGTCTGGATCACAAAGGCAGAGTCTGTCGCTCTCAGACTCTCATGGATTTTCATCGTCTCCATTTTCTCAAAATCGTTCAAGGCAGCTTGTCTGAGTGTTTTGAGTGAATAACACCGTTGTGTAGTTATCATTTTCACGTTTTGGACTTGCCCCTTTTCTGTCGCTCCAATTGAGTCGGAAAATGTGAATGAATCCAAATGGACCGGGTCATATATAGAAAACCCCGTTCTTAAATACGTTTTTCTGTCATCGATGTACTCGGTGAAACATTTGAACCACCGGTCTTCCACACTTTCATCGTCAAAACGAAGTCGAAAAACACGCTGTGTGTCAAATGTGACTTCTAACATCAACTTCTTTGTATTGTTTTTGATGACTTGTGTCGCATGGGTAAGGTCTAGACTCCCTTTTTGGCATGTCTCCTGTCGATTACTTCCAGTGCCAATCTCTTGATAAACAAACTTGCCGATTCGTGTAATAATTCAACACCCCATCACTCATAAAGTCAAACCATCGTTTCTTCCAGTTCTTCACGTTGCTTCCCTCTTTCACCATATACCCATTTTGCAAGAGTTTTGCAGTTTTTGCCATAACACAACAGTTCTGATTTTTCAGTTTGGAGTATCAACTCCGAACTTTAGAAATTTTTATTAATTGTCCATGTTTCCCTGTTTCTTTCGGGAATAATTCTTTGAAATTGTGAGGATATCAGACTTTTTAAGAAGAATTCGTTGTTATGTTTTTGACATTTTTTAAAGGTTTGTTCATTCAGACCTCTATTAATCGTTATTTCACTCAGAAAACAATATTTTTAACATTTTTATTAGTATGAAACTATACGTTACATATGTTATACAAAAGCCATCAATCAGAGGGTCCAAAGAAACTCTAAGAATTGAATTTTCATTGTATTGTGTATATTACTATTAAAACATCCATAAAAACGGGATTGTTGATAGAACCATTAACTTTAGACTTATCTGCAAATTTTGGGGCACTCTGCTTCGATTCGTTGGTTCATTTTTCCAAGACCTTTGCCTGTTGTTTTTTTTGATTTTATAATTTCATTATAAAAACTATTGTATACCATAGTACTTGTATATATATATGATATAGTAACATATAGTTGAATTATAGAATATGAGTTATAGTAAAAATATTAATATGATAAACTATACGAAATAAACTTAGTTCTGGCTTTTCTGCTTGAAAAAGTTGCGAGTAAGTTCGTCTAAAAGCGGGCACTTCAATTGTTCTGTCGACTTCGAGAACATCGGGTTCTTCGCGACTGCGACGACGTAACACGAGTCGAAATATTCTTTGAGCCAGTCGGTGTACGTTTGGAGGCAATTGTCTGTGAACAAGACAAACCTCAAATTTGTTGGGGTTTGGAAATAGTGAAATTTGTATGTGTCGGTGTTAAAACTTTCGAATGTCGTTGGGGCGTTCGATGGGTTTATACAGTCACAGAAGTTGGTAATAGATTGGATCAACCCCGATATGAATTGTTTATGTTCTGTGAGTTGTTGTTCTGTGATATCCGTTTCAATAAAGGAGTAGTTATACATACAGACACCGGTCTCGCTGTAAATGTAGAGTGTCATAAGTTTCACCATTTTAACTTTTTCAGTTGTCAAGTTTTTTGTATTCAATTAAAATAAAAGATTTCGAATGACGTTAACAACCAAAAGAAAAAAGAACTGATTAATAAATTATACATATAGAGTTCTTAATAAATCACAAGAGCAGTGTGGCTTGTTGAATTGTTTCTTTAAGTTTGTAAAGCAAAGGTAATAGCTTTTGTTTGTTGAGTGCGTCTGCATATATGTATTGTAAATAACAGTCATTAAAAGCTCTTTTCAGTGTTTCAACGCCTTGGATCAGTTGGGTTGTAGTTTCTAGTGTTTCATCAATAGAATTATCAACTGTCTCCGAGTTCTCAATAATGTCTTGGACTGAGAGTGTCATTGTCTGTATTAAAGTATAGATCAAACGTGTTAAATAGTGCTTCGCTTGAATTTACATTTCTTTAAGACTTTGAATTTACATTTTTGCTACCATTTCCCGGAGTTAATAAGACAAGGAGACCAGATAAAGAATCAACTTTTCTCCCAACTCAAAGGAAAAATTTTTCACCTTTTTTTTCTGTCCTCAACATTGTTATTGAATGAAAATAACTCGAACAGTCAATTATTCTCATAAAATGGTTGTTAAAGTGATAATAGTTTATTACTCTAATTCTCCCGTAAATTTGCGAACATGCAATCTGAGTTACAAACACTCTCCTTTTAAATATCATTTTGCTTTGAAACAGGTTGAATGGGTTTCTAAATTCAAGGGTATCAGAAAGCTAGATAAACCAAACATAAACCATAAAGAACTAGTAAGGCATTGTATTTTAAGAATTAATACAGTTGCCACTTTGTAAAATAAAATACGCAGAAAAAACTGAAATAGATAAAACAAAAGAAGAATGTTCCATTCTGTTTTTTCTGTACTTGCTAACTCAAAAGACTTTTTCTTGTTTTAATACAATTTTTGTTAAGAATATTCCCGCTTTATACGAAAAAAACTCTCTGTTATTCAAACATTTTTGCTGGAATTTGGAAATTTTAGCTTCTTTTAAAGTTCGTCCAAAAGTATAGTATTTGTATACTAACTCTGTAGTAAAACTCTAATAGTGCAAATTTTTGAGAAGGTGATTGGCCTTTAATTCTGGACGGATGAGGGCTAAACATTTTATTAAGGCCGACTGTAAAACGGCAGATATTGTCGGACTTGAAGAACATTTTCAAAGCCCCGTAGCTTCTCTCTTTCCTTTGATATGTCAATTACCTTACGCTCTCCAAATTTGAGAAAGTGGTACCCTTGTTGTCAGTTCTTACGTTTCAAAATGAGAGAACAAACATTCAAATGCCTTCACTAGAAATTCAATTTTTAATACCTTTTTTTCTTCTTCTAGTAGTAAACAGTCTTCAAGTTCTGTCATCAGAGCATCAATTTGAGTGATGATGTCTTGGAAAGGTTGAAGTGGTGGGAAATCCATTTTTGAGTGTTTTGGTGAGATGGTTTCATATCATTGCCATTTGTTTCACCCTCTTCTTTTCATCATTCCACCAATTTCTATCTTTCTCCATCATTTCATTTTGAAAAGCCGAACCTTTGGTTATTTTTGCTCAAAAATAAAAAAGTTAAATATTAAACTGTTGTTAAAATTTTTACTATAATATTGAACAAACATGTACAAAATTAAAAATAAATGGAAATACTTTAGTTAAAACGATAATAAATTAATAGTTATTCATTTTTTTATATTAATAATTTTTATGGCATATTGTTATGGTTTGGTATCTTTATTTTTATCACGAGCAAGTTAGTTGTATTTTCCATAGTAAAATGGCAATAAAAAAAATAGTAACTATTATTGGTTATATTTTCGTTTTCTTTGCCACAAAACCTCGAAATTCCGAAATTATTTCACTAATAATTAAAACTATACTAAATTACAATGAAAAATAATCCAAACAAATGAGTGATTAAAAAATGATTTATAAAAGATGAATGTAAAAAATGTGGTTGAGTCAACTTGAATTAAAAAATCTCATTCCAAGATGGAAAAGCCTGTTGTCTTCGACTTTGGTTCCCAGTCGTGCCGTGTCGGGTTTTCCGGGGAGTCAGTCCCATCGCACATTTTTCCCACTTTTGTTGGCCTTCCCAAAGAAACTTCGACACTCAAACCCGACATGTACGTCGGAGAAATCTTGAAAGAAAGACGCCGCGACTTCACGATCTCCTCGCCTGTGAGAAATGGAACAATCGAAGACATGTCGATGGTCTCTGCAATCATTAAACACTCTTTTGAAGTTACTGAGAGTTACGGTTCACCCGTCTTATTGACTGAACCGGCACTTAACCCAAAACACATCAGAGAGAAAACAGCACAACTGATGTTTGAGCGCTTTAAAACGCCACTGTTGTACTTTTCAATGCAGCCGATACTCTCACTCTTTGCTGCGGAAAAGATTGATGGGTTGGTCGTTGACTCTGGAGCCGATGTGACGCAGTTTATACCCGTCTATGAGGGTTTTGTCATTTCAAATTGTGTGACAAAGCAATATTTGGCTGGAAACGATTTGCTTGAGTATTTGGTTTCGACCATTGGAGAGAAACGGGATGTGAACGTGACAACTGCCGCCGCCAAAGAAGTTTTGGAACAACAAGTCAAGAGAGAGTGTATTGTAGCAGTTGATGTGTTGGATGTCGTTCGTCTTTCTGAAGACCCAGAACTTGCTCGGACGTATTCATTACCCGATGGCACATCTTTCACCATTGAAGAAGAGCGCTTCTTGTGTCCAGAAGTCCTCTTCCAACCGCAACTATTTGTGAGTGGAGACTCTATGGTACAAGGTATAGACACTGCGGTGTATGATACAATCATGAAGTGTGATATTGATTTGCGACGAAGACTATTTGAAAACATCTTGTGTGTTGGGGGGAATACGATGTATCAAGGCTTTGCGGAACGCGTGCAAAAGGGTGTTCAGACGATGGCGAATGAAACGATTAGTGTTTGTGTCGAAGCTCCCGAAGATCGAATGTATTCTTCTTGGGTGGGTGGATCGATATTTGCGTCTGTTGCGCAATTTGACAAATTGGCGATCAACAGTTTTGAATACGAAGAGTTTGGAGCGGAAATTGTGAATAAGAAATGCAAATTATCGCACGACTGAAACCACAAGCAAACAAACACTGAAAAATTGAGTAGAGGCAACCGTATTAATATCAATTTAATTATCACTACGATTTCTTTTTGTTGACAATGAAATACGCCCCCTCGGTATATGACTCGTTGTACTTGGAGTAATACGCTTGTTCAACGGTTGCTTTATTGAAAGTAAAATTGTACGACTTGATGCCCTGCATTTGAGTGGATTTCTACGTTATAATATACTAAAATGCGAACAAACGAGTATGCCATAATTGTCTTGAGAATGTGAGTAATAGTCGAAGTATGTGGTATAAGGCATTAAACCATAGAAGCATCTTTCCAATTCGGAGTTTCCGTGGGGATGGATTTCGGGATAGAAAATGGTTTCCATCTTTTCTGGCCATCCTTCGATTTCTAAGGCACACTCATCCTCATTCTCCCTTTTAAGTGTGATCTTTCCATTGTTGAATTTGGGTTGTTTGCCATCCCCACAGATATAATACGTTTGATTTACATCGTCGTTTTTAAGTAATTCGATGACATCTGGAAATTGGTCTGAATTGTTCACATTGAATTTCAGACGGGTCGGTGGAAATACACTTTTGAGTTCATCAAAATACGAAATCCACGAATCGAATGAAAATGTGTTGCCACAATAAAACATGTCTTCCGTCGCACTGATCATACCTAAGTAATATTCTTTGGTGTGCCCAAGTTGTTGCCCTCGTATGATAAACCCTTCATCGTTCCAGCCAACAATGATTGCAGAAGAGACGTCTCCTTCGTGGAAGTGCAATTGATCCGTTTTATATTTGCCGTCAGGACCCTGTGCTCGGGTGCATCTCACATTTGGCTCAGAAACATTGCCAACATTGCGACACCGCTTGTAGTATGCCACACTCATTACAAGTGGAAGATTTTTGTGGTACAAAAACTGCTTTATATCCGTTGGGTTGTATAAATGGACATCATAAGACATATTCACACTCACATTCATCTTACTCACATCACTCCAACTCGAATTCAAATCGTTGAATGATGACAAATTCTTCAGGACTTGAACAGTAATTGTTTGTCCACTCTCTGCCATTACATCATATGGGAGGCCACTATACCCACCAAACTTACTATAATAGTCACAGTAATTCTTCATCTTGGGAGACTTGTTTTCAGCACCACACAAACTCTCCACAACACCATCAACTACTTTTCAGTTCAAACGCATCTCTTAATTTGAAATGGATCAAACAAAGATGTTAACAAACGACCATCACCATTGACTGTAACATAATTATTTGATGCAAGGTTGACATTCTCGTGTAAATAACTTGTGTACATCAAAGATAAATAATACCCAGCAACTGATGTGTAATCAAATGTTGCATTTCCCTGTCCATAATAAAGGCTGTCTTTCATAGGCTTCCTAGCCAAAAAGGCGATATTAGGCAATTGAAGTGAATACGTCGTCGGAAGTTGTGAGTCGTTATAATACTGTTTAATCGTCTCCGTTTGGATAATCACATTGATGTTAACTTTCAAGATCACTCCGATGATCGCAAATTGAAGCACAATCAATAACCCCCAGAGTAAACACCCCGGTCCATACGTCCGGACTTTGTAGTCTATTTCTATACGAACCGATTGAAAATAGTTCAACACCTTTTTCCAATTCGGCTTCCTCCAACTCATCCCCATTGCTTTTTCAGTTCTATTTAGTATAGAAAATCAATATTATATAAATCTAATTCAAATCAATTCTAATGTGCCAATCCATGCTTCTAAAATATTTCCTTATTGATATAGAAATCCATTAATCAATCATTTCTGTTTTGTAAATACAACGGTCTCCGCTGATGCCTTCGCATTCGTTTGCTCTTGTTTAAACGCCGCAAGACCAAGGGAACATAACGTCTGTGCTAAAACACTTGCACCCCATTCCTCATCAACTAATGTATACTTCTCTCCCTCATACTTCTGCCCGCTTTTTGCAAGTTGCATTCCGTTGTATTTAAACCCGTCGTGTCGTGCTATAATTCAATTCTTAATCCACACACAATAGAATAATTATTCCTATTTTAACTATAAATATAGTAAACTCGTGAGAAGAACAAACAGACAAATGCCTTCAACTCCCTCTGGCTAATGGATGTACCTTTAACCACAACAGCCTTAATCTTGATGAACTTCAACACATTCAGCAATGTTAGATGTTTGATTGCATTGTTTGAGATATCGAGAAATTGAATAGTATTGCCAAATGGTGTGTTTACAAAAGGGTCCAAGCACGTCGGTGTCAAATTGTTATTTGCACAGACGAGCGAAACGAGTGGTACGTCTTTCAACTGCGACAAAATAGCGTCGGAGACGTTGCACTCGCTAACGTTTAAGTGCTTTAACAATGGCATTGCTGCGATTACGTCCATTGAATTCATCGGGAGTGTGGTTGCCGCCAAATTGAGTCTCTCGATGTTGCCCATATTTTTTGTGTTCACAAAAAGGGTGACCAACGAATGTGAAGCGTCAAGTGACCTCAAACTCTCCGGTAAAAACTGAAGTGCGTAGTTCGGGGTTTTCCGTGGTAACGAGAATTCGACTGGAAATGGTGGTTTTGTTAGCATGTGACACAGCACTTTATATCGACAGAGTGCGCATCGGCACTTTGAAATTCTCGAGTTTTTGTGAGGGGGGATATTTGTTTCCAAAAGTTTCTTAGTAAGGACGTTAAGTAATTGGAAGAGGTATTGGTGCTCTTCGACATCGCTTGGAATTTCAACGTGACGATTGACCAATTGATCGTATAACTTCTGCATCGCCTTCAATTAAGTTTCTTTGTTTCTCTTTAATAGTTTCCTTACTTACTATATTAGTACATATTTTTTAATAGATAATATCGTAATTTAATTTATTATAATATATAATAGTATATTTTATAATATACAATAAAATATTATAAATTAATAATAAAATAATTTTATTATTATTCTTTTACAATAGTATAGAACCATAATATATAATAAAAAATACTAATTAAAAATTCTATTCGAAAGAGTCTGTTTTATATCATAAAAGTGTACAAATCTTTTTCTTTTGAACTTTTTCCTCCTGAACCGTTTTTGGAGCTCTTCGACGGATTTCTCTCACAACCGATTGAAAAGATTCGAGGACATTTATCTTGTTCTTTGCAGAAGTCTCATAACAGGGGCAATCCCATTCAGATGCCAACTTTTTCAATTCCTCATTTGATACTTCTCGCATCTCTTCTAAATCACATTTGTTACCAACAATCACTATGGGAAACTTTTCATTATGATCCTTTTCGAGAACTCTATAGAGCAAATCATCTAAGTTGGATATCTCTAAGAATGAGGTTTTCGAGATAATTGAGTAGACACCTATAAAGCCATCGCCACTGCGAATGTATTGGTCTCGAAGACTGGTGTATTCCTCTTGCCCTGCTGTGTCTCGCTAAGTGTCATTCAATTTTATATTAAACATGATAAAAATATAACAAGTTAGAACAAACAATACTTAATGGAATCATTTGCCCATCTACATTTATTGTTGTGTTAAATGAGTTTTCCACGGTCGGATTATACGCCGTCATAAATATACCATTCACAAGTTGAACGGTCAGTGAAGACTTCCCCACAGCTCCAGAACCTAACATAACTATCACAAACTGTTTGGACATTGTACGCTTACTGAATATTTAGTGCTTAAATGTGCTATTTTTAAAGTGGAGTTTTTGATTATTAAACTTCCAAGAACCAATTGTCTCGGCGTTATTTCCATTTGGTCCATTTAAAAAATAGATAAACAATTGTTACCCAAAGTTATACGTAAAAGGAAAGCTAATGGTAACAAATTAAAAAACAAGGTCATCATAAGTTCTTTATGTCAATGGGTTGAGCATCACCTTACTTATTTTTAATCACATGTTTTGGTAATCTTTAAAATAAAAATGGATTTCCTTCATTGAAAAATAAAAGAAGTTCTATTTTCTACTTCTTTTTACCAATTATACCACCATCTGGTTGAATAATTGATGTGTTTTTAATTAATTCTTTAGATAATAAATTATTGAAAATGTATGGTTTGGTCGAAACAACATGAAAGATATTATTATTATTAAATAATAGTTCACTTTTGTAACTTTTCCCATTACAAATAGATTAATAAAAAAATAATTCTATCTTTTTTTGGTGTGTTGTTTCTCTTTTTGTCACAACATTTTATTTTTTTTTATATAACTTTTTTATATTATAAATATAATAAATATATATATTTTTTTACTATTTTCTATTATTAATTTATTTAACTAAAAATAAAAAATTTTTTACAATCGAATAACAAAAAAATTATCAAAATAAAATATTTCGGCAAAATATGACAGAAGTAAAACAACTAAAATGAAACTTTTCGTACAGACAATAACATATTTTAATATTAAATTGTAAATTAATTATTAAACATAATAAATAAAGTAATAGTAATTTTTATTAAAATAAGTTATATAATATTAACTATTATATTTATAATAAAAAATAACATATTATAATATGATATATATATAATATTAGGGTGCGCAACCGAGAATTTTCTTATCAAAAATTAGTATCGAAAAAC